TAGAGATGTCCTTTATACCCACGGCCCATAAACATATCTGCTTATACGCATTGTGTAAATTTGGATATTTTGCACAAGACTTAACCACATCCAGTGGGCGTGGCACTAGCTGTGCCTGCCACAAAATTTCCGTTATCTTTATTATACACAAAAGGTACAAAATATTATTATTTATTAAAATTCTTATTTTCATTAAGTGCTACTTGCCAAAGGACTCCGTCAATGGGCAAAAACAAAAGTATCTCGTTAGTGGTGAATTTTTAATAAAACGGCAAATTATTCGTTATAATTTGAGTGTAATGAGTATTTTGTTGTTGTAGTCTAAGGAATTTACTGCAGTTCGTATCATTGGAAAATTATATGTTGCAGCAATGATAATGAGCTGGCAAATTGTGAGCGGAAAGAAAAGGCACAAAACCGCAATATAAATTTGAGTTGTTAATTTTAAATTTTATTACCATAGGAGAAAAAAAAATTATCTGACAAAAAATGTCTAAAGTATATATCTCATGTACCTATATCTAAAAAGAGCAAATGTGTACCTAAAATGGTAGATGCAAAAAACTCTAATTAATATAGAATGCAGTTCATAGAGTACGGTTAAGACCAACAGTCAGGAATTTTTTTTATTGAAGGTAAGCTTATACCTTTAGTGAAGTACTATATTAAATAGCCATTGAAAAGACAAATCCATTGTGATGTTATATATTTATTACTTACACGTACTATGTAAGTATTTTAATGTCATACTGACATTATTTTCGTTGTTGTTGTTGTTGTGATTTGAGTTAGTGCTATTGCGCACTTTTACTCTATTGTGACTCCACACTAAACTTAACTATACTAGACTCATTATCATTTATTTATTTTCTAACTGATGACGGACCGTAGATTAACAGATCTTCTTGTGCGTCCTGAGGTGGACTTATTATTATTATTTGCGTATATCGAAGTTATTATAGTGGAGAAAATTTTTATTAAATACAAAATTTAATTTTCAATGAATTGACGGCCTTAAATTACAATTACGCGAACACTACTAAAATATTGGTTGATTAATCCGTAGGATAACATATTTATAAGAAAGCCAGATAAATTTTAAAAAGCGCCAACTTTTTTATGGTTGAGTTTTTAACGGAGAGTTGGTGATATAGCGATTAATTGGGAGGATAGCATTAAATATCTATGAACCACGCTTAATAAGCGGTTCACTTGGCACAAGCACATACAAGTCAAAAGAACAGAAAGCTGATCTACAGCCACGGTTGCCACTTGAAAATTTTTTCCTGTACCAAAATTGGTTTAAAAAGGTACCATTTATGTAAAAAAAGGTCCAACATTTTTTTGGACCTTTTTATTTTTTCGTTATAAATGAATGAGTGTTATAAATGAACAAAGTATAAAATAGTGCAAAGTTGCATTTATAAAAAAAATTAATTGGAAATATCCACAATAAAGTTGGATCGTCAAAAATGTACCATTTTTTGAACATGAGTACCCAACGAAAAAAAAAGTACCAATTTTGGTACTAAAGTACCATAAGTGGCAACCGTGTCTACAGCCAGATAATTAGACCAGCACTACTTTATGGGTGAAGCTATGAAGCTATATGCGAAAACCGCACGGAACGGTACGTAGATCTTAGATCAGTCATTGAAATAATCATGAAGCCTATGAGAAACACATAAATTAGTCAGTGAGATGTGTGGAACTCTGCAGAAACCCTTCAACTATCAAAGAGTAAAAGTCCCCAGATACACTAACTCGGAAAAGGCTCAACATTACCAATTTTATAACATTTGAATCATTACTCATTTAGTTACAGCTGTTTTAGGGACCTTAATTTTTATATTTTCAGAGAAAAGCAATTTCATGGGTTGATTAAACATTATTTTCTGATGGAAAAAAATATCCTGATAGCAAAAGCTGTCTTACCTTGATAAGTCCTACCAGGACTCTGCTCCATCGAGACAAATGGTAGAAAAGTGGGTTGTTGACTATAAACTCAGCTGTACAAAACCGATGATGCTAAAAGCGCTGGTCGCCAAAAAGAAATAGTGACACCGGAAAACAACACAAATGTCCACAAAACCGTTTAATCAAAGTATTAAGTGAAGTTGCAGAAGACACTTGACACCTTAATGATTTCCATTCAAAAGAATGTGTCTGCTATGAAGATTATGGGCTGAAAAATAATAACAAAGATGATAATATAGAGAAAACGACCAAAATTCGTTTTATATTAGGTGTACGAAGCATATAAGTATTTGCGTCATTTACTTTTACATATTTTGAACTATAAATGCCGTTTAGTCATTTCAAAACTAATTTAAATTTAATTTTATTATAACATCTTATGAAAAGCAATTTATTAGTGATTGAAAATAGATTAACTTCCGAATTGACTAACTGTCGGAATTGTACGAAAAGTAATTGAATGAACTGCGACAGATAATCCGTATTATATTATTATATTAAAAAATCAACGCTTACTCTATTAATAACTAATTTATTCCTTTTGTTAATTGAAGTGAAGGAGAATTATAAATTTAGGAATTGATTTATTCTGAATGTTATGGGTTTGTAGGTGCTTTATTGTGTCATTAACTTGAATTGTTGCGGTAGTTAAAGACATAACGCTATAAATGTATGATACGTTTAATTTATAATTCTTACTCACTTAAATTAATACAATCTGTAATTGAAAGAAATTGCCTGACTACGAGTTAATCATTTAGTTTAATATATTTTCTACTTTAGCTTAATTTTGGTATTTCAGCGTATTTAGTGAGAATGGTAGACACTGACTTTTTTAATTGTAAATGCCAAGATACACTTGATTTGGGTTGCTTCATTAAATTCAAATAATATATATAATGAAAGATAAATAATGGTTGGAAAAACAAAAAATTACGATATAAGAAAGCAAATGTGATATCATATTAAACATGTTTTTTAGACAATTTAGAAATCGTGTGATATGTTAATAGCGAAGATACATGCAGATCAAACTATAGTTATTTGTAGATAATCTTTCCTGATAAATAAAGAAAATGTTAATAAAAATTACTTATGCAATTTAATAGTAAAATTATAAGTATTATAATAATTAAATTTTTTAACTCAATAAAACACTTGACAGTGAATGTGAGAATTGGAATTTATACCAAGTCCGTTATTACATTAGATCTAACATAGGCGTAAACAACTGTGTAGATATCTAAGTGATATGTTATATATAAAATTTGTATATCCCGTAACGTCAGTGCTATGAGTCATGAGTGATTTCAGAAAATCTTAAAATGTCACCAAAGAAACAGAAGATATTATTTCTTTGAATGATAACATGCAATATAGTTCTATGCCATATGTTTATAATCCTATTAGTAGGAGATAATTATCGCTTTGAGTATTGATCATTTTTGTTTTTATCCTTAATTAATTTAATTTTTGGCTGACCATACAACTGTTTGGAGTATTGTCAAATACTCATCATCAATGGTCTTGAATTTATTTCTTATTTAACTATTTTGTTATTGATATATGATAATTTACAGAAAACTTAAAGGAAAATGCAATTCATAGTGCCTTAAAGAAATTAGTATAATGTTAGTACTACCTTTAGAAAGCGTACTCGGGCAGTCACTCTATTTGACCGATCCATCAGGTCTTTTATTATATTCTAAGAATATGTTTGATGATATTTTTCATGGCAATTTTATAAGTTTAAAAAAATGTCAAATTGAAGTATATATATAACATACATTAATGCATGTAAGACACGTACATTGTGAATTGAGATGTTTTCCACTGTTAAGTTGAACAACATTTATATACATCAATCAAATGATGAGCGATTGCTTAGTATTGACTTTGACAGAAGTATAGTTAAATACATGAACTAAAATATTGAAAGCAAAACGACCAAAATCAAATCAAAAATAGCTAATCAACCTCAGCAGTTCGAAATTCATCTTCGAAAATATAGTCATGATTTATAATTTCGTGTTTCATAAGAGAACATTAAAGTGCAGCATGTTTCTCTAACATTGATATAATATGTACAAAGTGTTAATAATATCTTAAAATAAAAAGTTGAAATCCCTATAGATTCAGCAAAACACAATGTTAAATGATCTAGAAGTAAAATGACAAGTCCAACAACTATGGCAACAAAGATGGAATGCAGAAACAAAAGGACGATGGACAGTTGGAAATAATAATGGAAAGTTGATCCCAGATGTAACGAAAGCATCAGACAGGAAAACTGGCGAAGTAAATTATTATCTAATTCAATTCCTTTCTGGTTCTGAATATATTCAAAAGTACCTTTTCGTATTTGCCAAGCAAAAGCTACGAAATGCATGTACGAAGATGAAGATAACACTGAACACACCATCTTCAAATGCAATAGATGAAACACCGAAAGAACATCACTTGAAACAAAAATCGATGAAATTAACGTCGAAGATATCACAATGAAGATGATGTTATTTGAAGAAAATTGGATCGCTATAGACAGATTTATTGCGATCATACTCAAACAGAAAAAAATATGATCTCGAAAATGATTAATTTCGAAGAAGAGACAAACAAATAAGCGAGGCCTGGACGTAGGCTAACGAAGAAAAGTTTTTAATCGATTACCACGGAGACTCTACCCTGAAGTATCCCTGAAGTATTCAGGGTAGAGTCTGAACTCTACCCCGATAAAGTTCCAGGGTAGAATCGGTCTGGCACTCGAGGGAGTTTGTTTTTAGTCCGTGCAAACTTGGTGTACAACTATTGTGCCGACATGATGACCATGCATTATACATTTCTAAACCTCCTTTCCGCATAAAAAAAATAAAAAAACAGGACATTGAGATTATTTACTTTTATATAGATAACACATATAACATAACATATATTTATATAGATAACATGTTAGCATTGAATCAGATATTGTGACGTGAAAAATATTTTCTTAGAATTAAAAAATTAAAAAAACATATATATATTTTTCAGTGGTAAATTTGTTTCGAAATCTGTTGTTAATGAAAAGAAGTGTCATTTTTACTCCTTACTCATATATTTTCCAGGAGTACTAGTGCGTTGGTTTGGTAATTTTATTCGTTCCAATTAGAAACATTCTATATATAAAAAATATATATTAACTGAAGAATTCTTAATGATTATTTAAATTAATTTTTTTTTATAGTTTTTATACAGATCACCTATTTCAATTGCAGAGCAATTTTTACTTGTACGGTTTTGAGGCTCATATACAAAATTATATCTATTTTGCTAGACTTTTATCATAGGTAAGTTACAGTTATTTCTGCATATCTATTATGTTTACTATTTAATAATATTATTAACATATATCTATATTTTTTGTTATAAAATATTTAAAAATACCAATATGGTTATTATTAACAAATAATAATCCATATCTTCTTAATGTCCTATCAACTTATTTCCAGTAATAATCAGTATTAAAAGAGTATTTTTCCCAATATAAATCACATAAGTACATAATTTAAAATTTTAATTTTAAAAAATCAACATTAATTTCGTCAGAATAAATAATTTTAAAATCAGAAATTTCGGAAAAGTAAATAGAACACCCACATTTACCACCGTTGGCCGGTCAGGACGAAACCTATTAATATTTCACTTTGATTGCGACATATGGAGCGGCGTGACCAATGGTCAAACTGCATTTGCATACGCAATCAAATCGAAAATACCAAATAATCCAAATAAAGTAGCAGACACAGGTATATAAGCGCCAACAAGGTTCAGGTCGCAGCCCTTGTAACGCCTCTTACCAATACAAACACAAATAAGCTATTTTGTTTGGAAGCAAATGCGTTTATGTTTGAGTTTCCTATGTGACTTAATAACTTTACCGCTACGGTTGGCGCTGGTATGTTTGTTTTTATTTGAATGTAATGAGGATGATGTCAGTCCCTCCGTATTTGGTATATTGTTCAATGTCCGATATTGGCGAAAAGTGCCGCGGTTGATGCTGCCCTTGGTTGCAAGATGCAAGCTGTTATTGTTATTGTATTGGGCACCAATGCGAAACCATCTACAAATGCACGTATATAAGTCCATTTGATTGACAGTTCCTGCTTCACACTGGTTTTATCCATGTGGGCCATCAACTAAATCGAAACAAACAACCAAAATAGATAATAAGTAAATATTTTAGAATCCTGGCAAAAAAAAAAAAACTTATGTGCATATTCAGCAAAATTTTATTGTTCCACTAAAATAATAAGCGAAATTAAAAAAACAAAATTTTGTAATAACTTGGGTTGTGAGTTAGAGAGGTGGGGTCTTGGGATCAGTTGTTGGGCTTTTAGCTGAATTGTTAGCGATGGTTGATGTTGTTTGTTTTCTTTTCCGGCGGAAAACGTGTGTACATGCGTCCAATAAATAACGTTGGGCGCGAAATTTTAATTATAATGAAGGGTCATGTTGACGGTTTCGTCCTTTGATGGTCATTTTTCATTTCAATTTGATTTGCATTTTCATCGTTTTCACACCGAAATGATGTTTGTACGCTATTTGTTCTAGCAAACGTAAGATAAACAACTTTTATTGTGAGTATACAAAAATTTACCATATCCATTAAACCATATTACAAGTTTTGGTGGGCTTGGTATTGTCTATACTTTCAGTCAAACATTTAAAAATATTAGATATTATACGAAAAGTTTTCAACGGTATGATATACAAATGATTTTCAAAGAAAAAGTGTTTTTGCATCTGCAAATATTTTTGCACGAAAAGTGGAACAGACTATTTACAGGTTATATCCTATTGGATATGTATAATAACTATTGATTAGTTATCTACTATTAATAGTAGAGTCAGATTTAGGAGAATTATTAAGGTCCTATGTCCCACTGGGGTAAATGGACAATAGTAGTATTTTGAACATAATAGTAAGATCCAACAAAAATAAAAATTTAATAGACATCTATATCATCTATATTTATTAATACTACTCAGGAACTCTGACAAAAGGCTATCAAGGAGACATCATTCATCCAACTTTTAATAATGGAAATATGAAAAAGGTGAGGAACTACAAAAGAGTTTACCTTTTAATGGTCTTAAAATAAATAATCATCGATTTATATACGAAGGTACTCCTTTGTAACCTTTTCGAAAGATGTTGCGCTCCCATACTGTGTCATTTGTTATTATTATGTTGTTATCATAAAGTCTTTGCAATAAGCTATGCATCTAAATAGAGGCACCGTCATTACTTAGATTATAAAATAAATAATTTTAAAGAATTTTAAAAAATGAGGCTTAAAAAGCAATTTTTTTCTTATTTTTCATATTTTTAAATATATTATATACCATCAAAAGTAAGTAAACTATTCTTTCTGGATATCATATTCTGTTTGTTAAGCCAATGTTGGTTTATTTTAAGACCATTAAAAGTGAAATTTCTTTGTAGTTCACTACGTTTTTCATATTACCATTATTAAAAGTTGGATATATGATGTTTCCTTGGCAGCCTTTTGTCAGAACTTCTCTTTTTACTTTTATTAGTGGAAAGCAAGTGCTAAATATCGGTAGAGAATAATTTTTAAAAATTATGTTTGAAAATTCTCCAGGAATACGTCAGAGAACACATTGATATGTTTTTTGCCAGCTGTATTATTGACTGGTCTGCTTGTATCTCAACAGGTCTTAATATCTTTTCTACATTTAAGTAGTTATTATCGAATTATAAATTTTGTTGTCAGCGCTTATTGCAAGATCTAGCAGCTTTAACTATACTTACTCTTAAGAATATATTTTAGTCTGTTATTTAAAGAACTCACATATATCAATAAGTTTGAAAGCATTTCTATTATTTATAATATCATAATTTCATTTGTTGTTGAAAAAAATGTCATATTGTCTTTATAAGGCATTTGAGTAAAGTATATAATATATATATATATATACATATAATTTTTATCTTTTATTATAATTTTTATAATATTTTTTTTGTAGACGTTAATATGAGCAACCAAGATAACACTGATTCACACTCCTCCCACAGTTTGCCAGATCTTGGAAGTGCTTATTGTTTTGAGGGAAACATAATCAAACGTTTTTATTATGACGGTACGACTAATATTCGCCAGCTAAGTGATTCTACCTATACTGTGAATGCAGTATACTTATCTGGTTTAATGTCAGATTTACGTGACTTTACCGATGTTGAGCAACACTTTAGAGCATTGAAAAATGTTAAAGAGATCTTGTTAAGTAAGACCCATATTGCTTTATGTTTGTATGAGAACAAACTCACTGATATTTTGTTGGATTCCATACGTCATTTTAAAGAAGGAGAAATTGTGGAAGAACTTTTATATATACTGATAGTTATCACAGGTTTTTCAAGTAGAGGCGTAAAAGAAGTAGCTGCCAGCGGTGCGATACCTTTGCTATTTAATTTGATGAAATCTGCTGACAGCCTCATTATAGTCTATTTATCAGCATGGGTTGTATCAAACTTGATAGGAGAAAATTATTCATTATGTCAGTTAATTATGAAAGAAGGCTTCTTATCGCTAGTCCACGAAAAGATTTCTGAGACATCTATCATGCCGATTACGCGTACACTGTCTCGTGGTGTATTAAGTGTTTGTCGTTATCCAGTGCCTAAAAATACTGTAACGAAATTATTGGAAACCATAAAATGCCTTATATCGCACCCTGATCCTATATTGCAATGGGATGCTGTTTGGTGTGTGAGCCTAATAACTGACTTTGGAATCACGAATATCAATGAAGCTATATTCAATTTTGGAATTGTGTTTAAGATGCTTGCGATATTAAACTCAAAAGAGAATTATGTATTAAGTCCTCTCACTCATTCATTTGCTAATATGACTGCTTCGAGTGATTCCTTGACACGATCGCTTGTCAAAAATGGTATCCTAAAAAACGTTCCTCTACTTCTCTCTTATGAAAATGTTCAGGTACGTACCGATGCCGCTATGATGTTTGGCAACATTATTAGTCGCATGTCTAATGAGGTTTCTAATATGATTACTGATGAATATTTGAATATTGGATTAGTCAAATTGACTACTGACAAACCTGCGGTACAAACAGAGATGATATGGGTATTCAGCAATCTGTTGTTAACAAACAACAAACGTATTTTGGGCGAATTATTGAAAAGAAATGTGATGAAACACATTTTTGAAATATTACACAGTCAAGCCGAAGATATAAAACTCATTGCCCTATTCGCAATTAAATCAAAACTTTACATGCCATCTGTAGCCAGGGCTATCGCACTAAATTTGCACAAATCTGGCGCAATTCCATTAATTCAAAGGGTTTCATGTGACAAAATCGATAGCGTTGCTAATGTATCAGAAATTATTCTAAGTGTATTACGTAAAATATTAGATCAAATGAGGCTCAACTTATCAATGCGTAAAACAAGAGTATGAAATTGAAGATATTTTAAAATTATGAATAAATTTATTTAACCTATATATTCGATGTATTAAAAATTTGTTTATAAACAAATATATCTAAATGATTTAAAATCTATTATTTTGCACATTTATACACACATGTATCTAAGACCTCAATGGGTCAATGGATCCTGAAACACCCACCCATACATAAAATTTGAGAAAGCAGTTTTGTATTTGTTTTAATTGGAGAAGTGTTTCCAAACAAGAGAGTCCATTTAAAATTTACTAGAAAAAGAGAAAGAATTGTTCTTATGAAATGAATATATTCCTTGATTATTTGAGTTTGACATGTAACCCGTTGGGCATTATATTGGAAACATCAGGCATTTGTTGTAATTGAGTTTTGCTAAGTTGACCGCAAAAATAAATAAAATTTTGTTTCAATTGAAGTTGTTTTGGGGACATATTTTGTATTAAATTGAAATAAAATAACAAAATTGGGGGAAAAGTAAATTGATTTGTAATTGATTTACAATTTTTGAGAGGTACGTACATAAGATTATTATGAAAGAATATATGGAAAATAAGAAAAATTACAAAGGATCATATTTCAGAATAATGACAGTATTTTGCAATACTCGTATTTTGTGTATTTGTGTTTTCAATAGAGAAAAGTTTAGTGGGGTGTTCTAAAATTTTAGCTCCGCACCATGAAGAAGATGCCAAAATAATTTTACAATTTTGTGTCTTTTTAATTTGTTTCATTTTTTTTAAATAAATTAATTTTTACTAATTTTTTTCTTCACTCTATGACTCACTATAACTAAAAATATTAGACCAGTAAAATTCTGTCAAAACCTGTAGTCAAATTGCAATGTCCGAGAAGTTGGAATGCCCGAAGTTTTGCTTAAACTGTTAGCAGCGTTGAGTGTTTGTATGCACTTAGTTTGCAGTTTACCAAACTGTATCTTTGGGAAAATATATCGTTTAAGGAAGATATTGAATACGAGAACCAACAACATCAAGAACTTTAGAATCACTCCTTTACATGTTTACAGGCCAAATTCTATAAATCGCCTTCAAATTATTACAGGGAAGACATAGAGTCTTCCATGTATAGGCTATATGTTAGCTGCAAAGCACTTTACTTAAATGAGACCTTTTCATTACGATTGTGCAGGTATTTAGATATTCTGTTTTCATTACGATTGTGCAGGTATTTAGATATTCTGTTTGCGATTAAGCTGTTTAAGATACCCGGTATCGGTAGCATGACACTTTCACCAATCATTAATAGGAATATTGGTATGGATTTTGAGAGATAATTTTGACAGAGAATTAGAAATTGGTAAGTATTTCTCAGTCTCACATTAATTGTCGTAAAAATCATCAGATGCTATCACTTTGAGCATCTCTTTATTGAGGGGGTAGACTACTTGGAATTAGTATTATCGGAAATTAGTTTTAGTAGGGAAAGTAAAGAGATTATGTGTTGTAATTTGTTAAGAAAGGTTTCTGTTTTAAGTATGGTTGCTAATGATAAAGAGTTTTAGTACAGACTTTGTGAAGTGTTATGTAGAAAAACTGGTGAATATATTAAGCGAGAGAATCAAATTTTATTAGCGTTATTTTAAATTAGGTTTAGAAAGGACATTAAAGAGATTTTAGTAACGCGTTAGGAAAACTTTAAATACATATTGTTAATAACAGAACTACGGTAGCGATGCTGCGAAAAATTTGTAACTAGAATTAAGTTTGATGTAAATATTAAAAGCGACGTATGAAAAACTGTTTGATAATAAATTAAAAGTAAAATTTTAGTAAATAGGTTTTTCGAACAGTAATGAACTACAACAACAAAAATTTATTTTATATTATTTTAATTAATTGAATTTTTGGTTGGTCATACAGCTGTTTCGAGTACTGCTAAATACCCAACATCAGTAGTCTTGGAAATAATTTTTATATTTAATTATTCGTAAATAGTTTTTTGAGACTGCAAGTACCAGGAATCGAACTCGTGACCTGCCAAATTTAAAGCTCAGAGTCAGCGCTCCTTAATCAATTGAACCAAAGCCTTACTTGACTTTTTATGTTAGCACATTTTGTTAATTTGTTGTGAAAGTTTTATTAACAAATTCACCTGCTGTATTTCTATTAGAACGAAATCATAAACCAGCGGTAGAATAATTGAATTAATAAATTAAATTTATTTTTATTTTTTAATTGTTAAATTTCCATAATATTCTGTTTGTAGAATCATTAAATTCTATTGCTGTATATCTAGGTAATATGAGTTGCAGTCTGAAGTAAACTTATTTGGATAATTGCCGTTGTTTAAATTGTAACGTATAGATTGCTTTAAGGCTTCTATATAGGTACTTATTAACTACCTATTGTTGGTGTGAATAAAATTAAATTAAATATGAATAAGAAATATTTCTTAGCATATATTTTAGTTGAGTGCTGCCCAGCTACTTAAAAAATGAGTCCCTTATACCATACATGTGTAAAACACTTCACAGGATTATTTGAGCGGCTTGTACGTGCTAATTATGTTAATGATAAGAAGAGAAATTACAATAAACAAAACGAATGGAACTAAATTGATGTGACCACTTGATACACTCAATTACATTAATTAAGGCAAATTGTTTCAGTGCCAATCTAACTTTGTCCATCAGGCGTTGTGTTAACCGAAATCATATTATACCATAGTGACAAAAAAACGAAAATATTCAAGTTTTTCTTTTGTGGCGACCCCTAAGAAGACGTTCTCTTTAAACCAGCAAAAGTTAGGTCACATCGAAGTCAAGGAAATGTCAACGAAAATAATAAATGCTGGTAATACAACGTAAATTATTATTACAAGTGCGTGGTAAAGTGTAAACGATTTGCAACGACCTTTTCCTATTCAAATAAAATAGGACTATTTATTTTATTTAGCCTCGAGAAAATGGACAACTGCTCAGAAGTAAAGATATGGGCAAATAAAAGTGCTACTAAAACTAAGAATGTGTAAATGTACAAATAAATACGATACGAAATCTAATGTAAAGTTTCTGACTTGGAGCAAGTAAAATGCGTACTAACAAAATAACAGAATATAAATATAAACTTTTCTAATATCTCTAGAAATAAAAAGTTATCGTCACACATAAATGAACACACCATTTCGTTAAGGGGGAACAGGTTACGATTACATATGAAATTGACAAAATTAGTGCTGATGTTTATTATTTACTGAGAATTGCAACGGAAAACATTAGTCTAATATGGAGCAGGTCGGGGCTGTAAAAGACGGTAACGTTGCATAAAACTGATTATTGTTGCTGATTACTTTCTTTATTGCTGCACATTTTCATAACAATATTTGTACTCAGCTACGAATGTGAGACAGATAAAACAATGTCTGTTTCTTTGCAATAGCGCATTTTTTTATGCTATTCTCTTATTTTGATATTTTGAGTTTGACATTTACATATGATGTGAATAAATTTCTTTTAATGATAATTAAATATTTCTTAGGGCTAGCAGGCGATTACAACAGAAATCACACTACGTTAATCGCCAGAATAAATATAAAGTGTGCTAATATATTATTATTATTCTATACTCTATTAGGAGCTTAAGTTCTATTTCTATTTCAGTTTCGTGAAATACTATTTTCCTCTAGCTCATTTCAATCCTGCCCCTGTTTCGTGTCCCTTTAGGGTTTTAGCTAAGCGCAGTGTTAGTAATGTCATCATAGGATTCACGTAATGTATGCCTTATACATACACCCATTTTTTCATTTTCCTATATCATCATTTGTATTTATTTGACCTGTGACGGTCCAACTACCCATGTTTTCACTTTTATATATCATCGTTTACATATATTTGATCTGTGAGCCTCCTTAACTCTTCGTTTGTTATTGTTCTGAGCCACCATATCCGAAATATATTTCGCAAACAGCAGTTTTTAAACGTTTGTAGCTTAGTTTTAGTTTTAGCAGTCACCAGCGAGGTCCCACAACCATAGAGCAGAATGAACTTTAGATACTCATTACAAATTTTTCTTTTTTGTCTGTGTGAAAGTTGTTGGCGCGCCATATATTTTCAAGTCATGCAAATGATCAATGTGCATTTTGGATTCGGGCATTTATATCTTTTTTGTACCTGGATTTATCGAAAGAACACTTCCTATGTACGTTAAATTCTCAGCATTAGCTACATTTATGCATCAATTGCAAAGCTCACTGGATGTGCATAAACTCAGTTTTTCCTATATTGATTTCAAGTCCCAATCATCGATGATTTTTGATGTGGATTTCTGATTGAGTTTTGATTGCATGTGTTGGTGGGTATGTGAGAACAAGATAATGTTACGATATTATGCTCTATTTATGCTCTATTTATGCTCTATTTATGCTCTATTTTGTGAGTAAAAAATCACAAGCACCCAGTTCAGAACTATGATAGAAAAAAGTGTTGAGAGGACACAGACAGGACAGGATCCATATGTAGAGTAGAGAAATACTCTACATATGGATCTTTCATAGCTTTTCATTATAATAATCATTTTTTATACTAAAATATAAAACACTAAAAATAAAAAGAAAATTACAAAAATAAAAAAAAAGTATTTAATATCTGAATGCATTAGGTTTTAGTTTTATTCATTTAAAGAATTGTTTTTAAGTAGAAGAGAGTGTTTTTTGTCTACCGTACAAATTCAACAATAGATTTAAAAACCTAAGTAAAGTCGCGTCCATAGCTATCTCTTAATATATAGTTGAATATAACTGTCAGATTTTTATTATATTAATAAAGTTAATGTCCTATGATTTTATTAGAGAAATGACTGAAAAAGAGAAACAGTACTTCCACATATAAGATTTATGACAAAATTCTTGGACACTTAATAAAATTTATTGCAAAATATGTTTATTGATCAATGTTTCTCGCTATCACATATTATATTTGTATTTATTTATATTTTCTCATGAGCTTATTGATTTCCCTGGTTCGCACATTTAATATACTTAAGGTTTATCAGATGTGTACATGCGGAAACATTTGATGTCCACAGCT